GGCCAATATTCTCGTGTAGGTTCGGTGGTAATAACGGCTGGTTTCAAACGTCGAATATGAACCGTATCCAATCCGGTAGACATCTCCAATTTGAAAACATCATTTTGACGTTCGATTACACGATATGGACCATTATAGCGAGTTTGCAAGGGACCGTTGTTTTCATTTAATACGTACACGTGAGAGCAGGACAACAAAGCAGGTGGAATGGTACATTTGGTTGGTTGAATTGCACGAGTCGGTATAGCTTGGAGATTATCGAAAGCACGGATTAGTTGATTGACGTATTCAACCGGGTCATTAGCCAGTGGAGTAACAGTTGCCAAGTCACCCGGTAGAATTAGATTTTGACCATAAAGTATTTGAGCAGAGCTAAAGCCAAGATCTTCTTTAACTGAAGATCGGATAGAAAGCATAACAACAGGTAATCGATAAATCCAATCATTTCTATTTGAGACGGCTGTTAAGCTATCTTTCAAATAACGATGAAAGCGTTCCACTAACCCATTGGCTTGAGGATTATATGATGTTGTTGCTATATGATGAACTCCGAGATACTTGGTTAGTTCATCAAAGATGCGAGATTCAAACTGTCGTCCTCTATCAGTGGTAATAAACTTGGGAACACCAAATCGTGAAATCCATTGAAGCAACGTACCACTAACAGTTGAGGCATCAATACAATCAACCGGATACACTTCTGGCCAACGTGAAAACCGATCGACCATTGTTACAATATACTTCATCCCTGCCGAGACTGGAAAAGGGCCAATAATATCCATGTTGATATGCATAAACTTTTTTGATGGCACCGGTATATTGACCGGTGGAACACGTGTATGAGTGTGTACCTTCGTGACTTGGCACGTAGGACAAGCTGAACACCAATTTTTAATATCCTTACCCATGTTGTTCCAGAAAAATTTAGCACCGATCATCTTTTTGGTGGCTTTAAAACCAGGATGTGCCAAATTGTGATACGAATCAAATACACGTTTCCGATAATCTTTAGGAACCACCGGCCGAATAGCTGTTGGACCAACATGACAAACAATTCGTTGATTAGGTGCCAGTTCAATAGATTTGAAAATGTTTGGTTGTTGTTGGACCAATGTAAGATTTTGTTCCTCCAATTGCGCCGTACGTAATTCTTCGATCGATAAAAACGAAAAAGCAGCTACTCGTGAAAGAGTATCAGCGACAATATTTGTCGATCCAGCAATGTATTGGATATCACTGGTAAATTGTGATAAATAATCCAGTTGTCGGGATTCTCGAGGAGACTTTTGAGTGCGTGTTGATAGAGCAAATGTTAACGGCTTATGATCGGTAAAGATAGTAAAATCTCGACCAGCGAGCATATATTCAAAATATTTTACAGCCGAATAAGCTGCCAGAAGTTCTCTCTCGAATGTTGAATACTTTTGCTGAGCTGGCGACAATTTTTGACTGAAAAATGATATTGGCGTCCATAATTCTAAAGTTGACGACCATTGTTGAAGGACAGCTCCAACAGCCACTTCAGAAGCATCCACAGCTAATGATAATTTAGCGAGTGGATCAGGAAAAGCCAAAGATGGAAGTCGTTGTAAAACAGATTTAGCCGACTCAAATGCTTTAATGCGATCATCATGCCAAGAAAACTCGTCACGGATCAACATCGCATGCAAAGGAGCCAATAATGATGCAGCATTCGGTATCATACGGCGATAAAAATTGATGAGACCTAGAAAACGGCGTAATTCGGTTGTTGTTTTAGGCAGAGGAAAATGCGAAATTTCGGAAATTCGTTCAGATTGTGGTGAAATACCATCTTTTGAGATCAAATGACCAAGAAAATTGACTTTCTCTTGATAGAAATTGCATTTTTCTGCGTTGATGGTGATGCCATAATCGGAAAGACGTTGAAAAACCGAACGAAGATGATTATGATGTAACTCTCGTGACGACGAGGCTACCAAGATATCATCGATATAGCAGAAAACATATTCCAGCCCAAAAAGGACCTCCGCCATGAACCGTTGAAACGTAGACGGAGCATTCTTGAGGCCAAAAGGCATGCGAATGTATTCAAATAAACCGAACGGGGTAATGATTGCCGTTTTAGGGATATCCACTTCCGCAATAGGAATTTGATGGTAGGCTTTCTTCAGATCAATTGTAGAGAAAATGATACAATTGTGAAGATTAGCAACGAAATCGTGGATATGAGGAAGTGGATAGCGATCCGACTTCGTAACCATATTGAGTAAACGATAATCACCGACCGGGCGAATTTCATTATTCTTTTTATTGACGACATGTAGCGGTGAAGACCAATTTGATTTTGATGGTCGAATGATACCAGAATCCAATAATTTAGCAAATTCTTGCTTAACTTTGGTCAATGTATCAGGATGTAACCGACGAAACTTTTGAACGACCGGTGGACCGGATGTTTCAATGACATGCCGAGTCGAATGTTTGATTGGCTTCTCCGAAAAATCTAGGAGAAGGGATGGGAATTCACGTAAAATTGTGATCACAGGATCGTTGGCAGCCAAAGCGAACACGTTGTTATTATCGGCAGAGGCCATGATGCAAAATGCAGCGATTTCTCGTGAAGAATCAAAAATTTTTCCGCTTTTCGGATGCACGCTCAAATCGAAATGAGCAAGGAAATCGAAACCAAGATAGGGCTGTGGAAGATCAGTAACAAGAAATTTCCAACTGTATTGTTTCTGCAGTCCAATGTCAATACATAGAGTACGAAAACCATAAGTAGCGACACACGAACCATTGGCAGTAGTAACTGTCAAAGAAGTGCGTACAGGATCATGTACACAAGAAACAGGGATAGTAGAGATTTCAGCACCAGTATCAACTTGAAACATTAAGCCAGTGAGGGCGCACTTAATCATCAAACGGCGTGGTTCTGAACTAAGCACGTTGACACAAGCGATTGTTGAAAAAGTCGATGGTTTTGGTTTTTTAGCATTATTCACAGATGGCGCTTTAACATTCGTCGGTTTGAACGATTTTGAACTTGATTTGAATTGCGAAGCGGGAGAAGAGAAAGAGCATGGTTTCGAGCATTTTTCTGCTTTTTCACCAAAACGTCTATGAAAATAACAAATCTTTGCTTCTCGATTTGGTTTTTTAAAAGCGGCAATTTTGGTAGTCGTTTTCCGTGTACCTTCACAATGATCCAAAGTTTGAGCCAATGTCTCCAACGAGGATGAATTCAAGTTCTGACGAATGAGATCTTGTTTTTCCTGAGGCAGGCGGAAGAACCATGCATATTTGATTACCGATTCCATCGTAAATTCCGATAATTCAGCTTGAATAGTACGCAAACTAGCTGATGGTTTTTCAGAATCTGGAAATACTGAATAATCCATTAGAAATTGTTGAAATTTTTCAGCATCCGTTCGAGAATAGCGAGCTAAAATGGCAGCTTTAAGATCGTTAAACTGGCCTGGATAGGAATCTTTATCAAGAATATCCCGCAGATTCAACCGATCGGCTTCCACAAGAGCAGCATCAATGTAAGCGACCTTCGTTGATTCTCTGGTGATTTTTGAGAGCTCGAATTGCCGTTGACAATGAATCAACCAAGACTTCGCACATGTTGGACGGAACTGTGGTATCTTGGGAGTTGAACCGGCAACAACAAGTTGCTGTAAGGTGTCACCAAGAGACTGAGAAGGTGGTTGCAACGAAGGTTGAGATGTTGATTGTTTCAAATCTGACATCGTTAAATTTACGAAGAGAAGAGAAGGAAAAACAAGAAAAAAAAAAAACACAATTCAGAAGTTGGTGAAAAACGGGTCACCAATGTAGTAACATAGACTCGACTGAGCTTTATTGACAACTGAATTAGTTTATATAGAGACAAGAAATTACAATTGAACATATGAACAGTTGAACATGAGTAAGTTCAGTCATGTTCACTACACGCCTCACCACCAGTTTTGCGGGGACGACCGCGATTTCGTGGCCAATATTCTCGTGTAGGTTCGGTGGTAATAACGGCTGGTTTCAAACGTCGAATATGAACCGTATCCAATCCGGTAGACATCTCCAATTTGAAAACATCATTTTGACGTTCGATTACACGATATGGACCATTATAGCGAGTTTGCAAGGGACCGTTGTTTTCATTTAATACGTACACGTGAGAGCAGGACAACAAAGCAGGTGGAATGGTACATTTGGTTGGTTGAATTGCACGAGTCGGTATAGCTTGGAGATTATCGAAAGCACGGATTAGTTGATTGACGTATTCAACCGGGTCATTAGCCAGTGGAGTAACAGTTGCCAAGTCACCCGGTAGAATTAGATTTTGACCATAAAGTATTTGAGCAGAGCTAAAGCCAAGATCTTCTTTAACTGAAGATCGGATAGAAAGCATAACAACAGGTAATCGATAAATCCAATCATTTCTATTTGAGACGGCTGTTAAGCTATCTTTCAAATAACGATGAAAGCGTTCCACTAACCCATTGGCTTGAGGATTATATGATGTTGTTGCTATATGATGAACTCCGAGATACTTGGTTAGTTCATCAAAGATGCGAGATTCAAACTGTCGTCCTCTATCAGTGGTAATAAACTTGGGAACACCAAATCGTGAAATCCATTGAAGCAACGTACCACTAACAGTTGAGGCATCAATACA